GGAAGGGGAGGGGGGTTCCAAGCTAAAAGAAGAAGGGGGCCGGCCCTCTTCGCCCTTGGGAACCAAGGCGTGGAACGGAGGCCCGTTCGAAGGAAGGGCCCGGCCGGGAAAGTGTTCCGGGTTCTCTCGACCAGGCCCCCCCAAGCGGCGGGCCCGCCGTGCGGGACGGCCACCGCGGCGGCGGCGGCGGCGGGGGCGGCGGGGGCGGCGGCGGCGGCCTGCGACGGTTCGGCGCCGGCGGCGCCGACCCTCGCGTCGGCGGTCTGGGGCGACGGCGGCGGCGGCGGCGCGCCCGTCGGCTGCGGCGTGACCCGGCCGCTCGCCCGCCTCGCCGCCACGTCCGCGTGCCAGCCCGCGAGGACGGCGAGGTCAAAGGCGCAGGCCGGGGCGGTGTTCACGTTGGGCCCGAGCAGCTGGCTGACGAGCGAGCGGATGGCCGCGGTGAGGTTGGGGCACTCGCGCGCGCGCAGGACTGCCACGTGCGGCGAGACGTTGGTCACCACGTGCCGCAGCAGCTGCCGCAGCTGCAGGCTGCGGTCGGCCGTCGCCGTGTGCACGACGGCGGCGGGCAGCTCGGTGTACGGCGGCAGGCGGCGAGGGCCGCCGGGAGGCGCGTCGCGGGCGCTGCCCGCCCAGGCGAGCTGCAGCCGCCGCGTCCCGCTCTGCAGGAAGAGCCCAATTTCCCTGAAGGCGGAGAGGTTGAGCGCGTCGAGCGCGGCGTCCGTCTCGGCCTGCAGCTGCGAGGCGGCGGCGCAATGGGCGGCCCAGCGCGAGGCGGCGAAGCCCGCGCCCTCGGCGGCGTCGAGGGGGGCGAAGCCGCCGGGCGGGAGGACCGGCTGCTTGGAGGGGGTGAAGGCGCAGTACTTGGAGTCAAGCGTCGACATGGTTGCCGCGCTGCGGTTTGCCGCCAGATTTAAAAATTCCGGCGGTGCTTTCGCCTGCGGAAACGACCAAAGATGTCCTCCACCCCCATTCCTCGTTTGGGTTTGTCTGTTTTCTTTCTTTCTTTCTTTACGAGGGATCCCTAGATGTCAAAGCCCTCCATCAAAGCCTGTGGCGGCGGGCCGCTGATGCCGGCAGCTCCGACGCCACTGCGCCCTCCGGCGTGGGCGAACAGGTGCGGATGTGCGGGGTCACGCTGCAGGACGGCCTCGCTCAAATGCGCGCCTGCCGGGGCGGGGCGGTCACGAGACCGGCTGAAATCGCGGACACAGCTGCTTCGGGGGGTGAGGATGGCCGGGCATGAACGGCTTCTTCCAAGGTGCTCGCGTCCGGCAGACGCATCAGTTATGGAGGCTCAAGATTTTCGCGGCCCTCGCAGCGCTAGGAGGGGTGTCAGCTGCGGGATTTCTTTGTTGGAAAACAGAAAACAAAAAGAAAATCAAAGCAAACTCGAGAGAGAAGAGTCTTCTCTCACGCCAACGGAACAGAGAGAATGAAAAACAAAACGCAGCCGACGAGACTCGAACTCGCGCGGGCAGAGCCCAATTGATTTCTAGTCAATCCCCTTAACCACTCGGGCACGGCTGCACTTTTTTTTCCTGGCCGTGGCCAGTTTCGAACTGGCAGTCAGTCCGCACAGCCCGGCGGGTTTGCCAGAGTGTGCAAAGTGCGTCCAGGATGGAGAAGTCAAGTAAAACGAGCAACTGATATAGTTAAAAAGTGAAGTTTTGTGTGTGAGGGGAAAAATGTGAGGTGGTGGGTTTAGTAGAGGTGGGCTTGGAGGTGGTGGGTTGTGTTGGTGGAGGGGGTTGGGGGAAAGTAGGCTTTGAAGGGGGTGGGCTGAGGAGGGGGTGAGGGTGGTGGTGGAGACGGTGCTGGATGCTTTCGAGCTGTGTTGATGGTGTTGGAAAGTGATGGGTGTGAGATGTTGGTTAGAGTATTTGTGATGAATGTGTGGGAGGTGATTGTTTTTCGATAATTGCTTTTCTATGGTGATTAAACTTTAGTGTTTTTTGGGGGGGGGACGGCACGGGCCTCTCCCCCGGCTTATACACAGAGTTTTAGGTTTGTTGTTAGCAGATCAAGGCACAGAGCTCACACAAATCACACAGCGGGAGGAAAGCGGCGAGTCGCAATTCCAGGGGTTGTTCCTGTGGCGGGCCACCCTGTCCAGAAAGGCACAAGTGCCAATCTGGGGTCTCTCGACCGAGTCTATGAGCCCTGGCCGCCTCCCGGTGGTGGCAAGGTTAAGCAACCGAGCGACAGAGATGGTGCGTGGGTACGGGTGTTCCAGGGGGTCACGAGCTCACGACACGCACCGACCCTTCACCAACCGAAAGGCTGTGCCCGGGGAAGGCACAGTAATCCGGCACGTGCTGAGGGAGGGTGTAGAGGATGTAGAGTGTAGAGCGCTGTAGAGCTGTAGAGATGTAGAGCGCTCTGGAGCGCTGTAGAGCTGTAGAGCTCTACATCGGCTGCGTGACGAACTGCCTCCGTTGTAGAGCGATGTAGAGCGCGATTTTGTTGTAGAGTTTGTTGTAGAGGCTCTACAGCCA